ATTAATTAATTAAATATTTGCAAATTAATCAATTACACTTTCGACTAGCTATTATACTTTTGTGATAAAAAAAATTCTCTAAAAAACACACTTAATTATGAAAATTTATTGAGTCGGCAGTCAATGTAAATTAAAAAATTAACGGTTTTTCCCAAAACAACGACTAATCAGCAAGATTTAACATATTTTTTCCTGTATTTTTCTCTAGCTTTGTAATTATAACAAGTAATCTCCAAAAAATAAACTTAGCAAGTTAAATATAGTAGATTTAAAAAAACTGATGATAAATTTCTCATGTAAATACTGCACGTTGTATTACGCGGAGTTTGGCTGGCTGAATTTAGTTTCACTAGTATACCCAAATATCAAATGAGATTCGACGTGAATGACACTTCAGTGTGTGAAAGCCTTGCCGTGAAATGAGTAATGAAAAAGAATGAGTTGAAATGACATTCTCCTTGCTGCTTCATTCATTCTCATTCATACAGCGAATGTGAAGCGCGTCTTCATTCATTTTCATTTGAATGAGAGGAAATTCATCTTCATTCACATTCATGATCGTCATTATGAATGAAGTTGAGCAGGTATTTTTTTCACGAACCGTTCTCAGGAAGAGAAAATGGCATCTATCAATACTTTAGTGGATGATGTTGACATTGCATTCTATTTAAATCTATACTAACGATGAAATAACAGGAAGTTCCTCGCAGATAAGATTGCAAAAAGCGTTCAACCGGGTTCAGTTTTACTAATTAGATGAATAGAAGCAATAGCAGCAGGAAACACTCCAACGATAATGGATCAAGAAGCACTGGACAGTTGGTGGGCATTCTGTAATTTACATGTGATGTATTACGGCAAATAATTTGCAATGATGATTACATCGATTGTGGTGATAATGATTATTGTAGCATACATTTCCTATTATGAAACCATTAATACAACAGTGGTTAACATTTGGACCGTGATCAGCTAATTTTTCGCAAGCTTGGGTTCATGTGCTGGATGTAGTAGAGATAATGAGGAGGCAAAGGTGGAAGGAAATCCACTTCAGCCTCATACTACCATTATCATTATTAATTCACAAGAAGAAGCACAAGCGTCTGCAAATCGTGTGATCTGTAGGCCCTGCCTGTTATTCCACCTCATACTTATGTTCCCTACAATTTTGACGATATGCCAGAGAATATCAGAAATTATAAAATTTATCCAACCCTCTGACGTTAAGGAAATTCAGAATGACAACTGAGTTGTTTATAACACGACCTTTAATTATTTGTGTAATAAAATTCCACAACACTTTGTATTATTGGATTCATAGTACATATATCATTTATGGCGAAAACACATTTAATATAAACCATGCGCAACGTTATATAATACTAGGTGGTTAGGTGTTGCCCGTGGCACCCCCTTAATCGGATAGTCTTAATTAATGCTTGCATCATCCAACACAGAAATACCTAAATTTATGAAATTAGGCTTGTAACCGCACAATATTGGTTTTATTTATCAACGATTTATCAAAAATTTATCACTGTGACCGATTGATGTCATTGTTTACCAGGGTTTCGAATTTCCCACTTTTTGTGGCAGTTTCCCGGTGGGAAATGGGAAATACTGGGAAATAGGAGGGAAGCGGGAAATACTGGGAAATACTGGGAAGAGGGGAAAAGTGAACATCTAATGCCATGATATTTATATTTAAGTCATCTCAGATTTATTTCATTTCATTTTTTGGGGATTGAAAGCGAAAGCATTAAATCAACCTACCAAACCAAAATACAAAAACTATGACAAAATGACCGACAAGATCGGCATTTCTCAGCCGAGGAGTAAATAGTGTTGACTTGCTTTGATTACGGTTGGACTACATATAATTTCGAATTACATACTATTATAGTATTTATTTTTTTCAACTAGTTGAGCAGCCAGCATATCAAATCATTCTTGTTGTATTTCGGACTCGCAAATCCTCCAAATTTTGAATACATAAGCAGTACTGATGAAGTGAAATACATACTTTGAATTACGCGCTTTAATTTAATCAGTTAATACCACATCGATGTACTCGTTTTGAATTAATTTACATTCCTCATTAAGTTTTACATTAATATATGTATCATGGTACCCCAAAAATTGTATTTCCCACTATTTCCCATTTCCCACGTTTACTGAACACTACGTCCCTTCACTGGGTGGGTAGGAAATACAACTATTTCCCATAGCCATTTCCCATCTGGTATTTCCCACTCGAAATCTTGTTGTTTACGAATATGAGAAGTCAATACAATTTTTCGAATTTTGCTTGTTTTTTAATACTGCGGCGGATCATAAAATTGAAGATAGTAAAATTAATGAACCAACTATTCATTAATTTGAAAAATATTAATTGGTAAACTGATTTAAACACTTCTTGCAAGACATCGTTGCGAGTACATACACTACATATATAGTGATGCAGTTCTCCCAGGTCAGTTGATTTTTTCCTGGTGGATTCTGCCGAGAGCGTGACAAGATTTACAGACAGAGAATGGACAAATCTTATACAGCCTGGGTAAAGAAGTATTGGTTATTTGCATTATGAACGAGACAGCTCTAACCAATTTTTTGTCATTCCTTTCTTTACTCTAATCAGTAGCACAAACTCATTGGCGACTAATTCCGCGTCTCCGATTTTTAAGGTCACCGACAGGTCAAAGGTCAGAATTTTTAAAAAGAAAAATTTGAAGAGTGAAATTTCAACTTTCGTGGATAATTTTTTTTGAGCTTTTAAATATTTTTTATATGATACTACAACTCTTTAGAAAAAATGAGCTATCGCATGACCGTGTGCGATTTTTGTGTCGCCCACAGGAATTTTTCGCCAAGGACAGGTTGAAGAGCTAAAATCGTGACCGTGGCGAAACTCGAAAAACTGAGATATACAAAAACATACAAACACTATCTATATGTGTTTGTATATCTCAGTTTTTCGAGTTTCGCCACGGTCACGATTTTAGCTCTTCAACCTGTCCTTGGCGAAAAATTCCTGTGGGCGACACAAAAATCGCATACGATCATGCGATAGCTCATTTTTCTTCTAAAGAGTTGTAGTATCATATAAAAAATATTTAAAAGCTCAAAAAAAATTTTCCACGAAAGTTGAAATTTCACTCTTCAATTTAAAAAAAAAAAAAATTCTGACCTTTGACCTGTCAGTGACCTCAAAAATCGGAGACGCGGAATTAGTCGCCAATGAGTTTGCGCTACTGATTAGAGTAAAGAAAAGAATGACAAAAAATTGTTTAGAGCTGTCTCGTTCATAATGCAAATAACCAATACTTCTTTACCCGGGGTGTATATATATTTTATACATTTCTTCCCATATGTACGTTAAAGATTTCAAATCTCTCATTTTCTCATGAATAGTGTCCTCCTGCGTGGCATGGAACTAGTCAATTGTCCACACAACGCCAAAATAATACTTACAAAGGAGACGCAAACCTAACAATACCTAACAATGTAACACCCAGATCTTATTGCGACCCATGCAGTTTGGTAGACAAACTCTTTAAAAACATTTCATGCGTCACTCGGTCGGATGCGCAAAATTCGGCGACTTGCGAGCGTTTAAAGTTCGCGAAAACTGTCGGTTTTGAATTTAACACGTGGCTACGCTGCGTAAACGCGGAAAATCGAGCATTTTCGCGAACTTTAAACGCTCACAAGGCACCGAATTTCGCGCATCCGACCAAATGACGCATCAAACGTTGTTATTGAAGAGTTTGTCTACCAAAATACGTGGGTCGCAAAAATATCTGGGTGTTACATGGTTTGCGTCCACATTGTGAGTAGTGGGGCCATTAAAGTGGGTGGTTACAGGTACAGGTTACGGGTGGTTACAGGGGGTGGGAAGTAGATGGTACAGAAGGGCTGCTGATGAGTGACTTCAAAAAGTCTCAAAATTCATTTTGGAGGGTTTTACAACTTTTCTCAATTTACGAGGCATAAGAAGAGGATAAGTAGTTACTTGTTGCCCTACGCATATTAATTTTCCAATTTTAGGTATGTGGAGGAAGAACGCGTTTCATTAGCAAATTTACACAAGTGTGCGGCAAAACCGCGGAAAACCATCTATATTTTAAGAGAAATATAGTATCCGACGATATGTGTCAACAGGGGGTGTACCTAAGGAGCGTGGCAACACTCAAAGGATATCCCTAGATCATGTGATGACACTGAGGGTGCGTATGTGGTGATATTGAGGGGTGTGGTTAGTTCACGTATAATGTGGCGACACTGAGGGGGTGTGGTGAATGTAGCGACACTCAATTGGTGTGCCCAAATCGTAGGTTACGTGGAGACACAGAAGAGATGCGCCTATGGGAAACTCCCACTCACTGGGGGTATATTGAGATATTCGGAATGTATCATTTTAAAAAAATTTGATTTTTAGGAAAACGGTGATAACTTTTCAGGGAAAACGAATTTCGAAAATATGATGAGGGTACTGCGCACGACCCCCAGGAATACGATACCAATGAGCCCGACCCAAAAAAATGTGTTTTTGAAAAACTTCCTTCAGTGAGTTTATAGCGACCTAAAATGCGACAATTTGAATTTCCCCGCCTCAGGAAAGAATTATTTCAAAACAAGTTACAAATATTTGTTGTAGCCAAACCATCTTTGCATAAGACCCCGTTGACCGTTTTTGTCGATCGTGCACCCAGATCATTTGAAATAATATTTAGGTTTTGACATGACGTCGCAGTAGTTCACAGCATGTAAACGTAGATATTTCAAAAAGCTTTCAAAATTTTGAAAAACGGTATGCGTACCCTATCCTACATTTTAGAAACGGTCATAATGACGGTAACCCCATTGTTCCATCTATCAAGGTGGCCCCACACGACCCCCTTCAAATTAACATTAGTGATGACATTCTACATATATGCTTCTCATATACTTCCACACTAGGTGCAAGTAGATGGAAAAATACAAAAACAATAAGAAATATCGTGTTATTATCACCAAAATGTCTAGAATTTATGTGAATGACAAAGGTTTTATTTACAAAATAATAATAATAGTAGAATAATAATACAAAATTTATGTTGATAATGTACGTACTATGTAATACATAATACATGGTTATATTATAACATTGGCGCAAGTTACCAAGGAGTGAAGTAACCCACGTTATTGTATTCTTATTATTTTAGTCCTACCTAATTAAATTTTTTTTTGAGAAGTCAGTAAATTTACACTTAATAAAATAATAAAATTCTCAGCAACCGTTTTCCATTTAACAAGAAATAAATAAAATTCGAAATTTGTTCAATCAAGCAATTTCTTGTCCTCAATTTTAACAAAGACTGGTTCTTTCCCCATTTTTTGCATTTCCACTAAAGGAACCCCTTCCTTCTCCCGTGTTCCACTTGACACCGGATACTTACCAGTGGCAGATTTTTTCTTCAAAAACGCCATCACCAAGACCCCCACCAAAATAACCAGGCTACCCACACACCCCCAAAATAGCGGGGCCAACAACCCACTCCTCTCCAACTTTGTGACCAGCCCTACCTCAAATTTTTTCTCAATTTCCGGAAAATCTTGCAAAACTCGATCCTCATAGGTTTCTAAAATATCGGCATAATATAAGATCGGGATTTTTGCGTTGGTATCAAAATCGACTGGTGCTCCCCTCTCAGCGCTCACTAGCGCCGTGGTTTGCCCCAAGTTAATCTTTGCGCTGTTGATAACCTTGCCAGAGTTTTGGTCAAAGTAGTCGTAAATGATGAAAGTCGTGGCTTCCACGTCCCCCTCGGTCCCTTCGATCCCTCCGATATTTGTGACCAACAAGTCATTCTTGTCGCGAGAGTAGTCAAAGTTTTGGAAACTGGAATTAATTCCGATTCCGGTTTTGCCTTCCTCTCTAATTACGACGCCATCCTCCATATCCTCGGCTGCGAGGAGGTACACGAAGCCTGCAGGGATTTCGATGGGTCGTGGGACTAATTCCCATAAATTTTTAGTATCAACTACATCTCTTTTTCTCCTTGAAACATCGGTACCCGCGACAAATAATTCCTGGACCGGAAGTATGTCCATCACAATGGAATTTAACAGGACGCGTGTGTATTTCGAGGTCACAGTTCCGTTGACTATGATAATTCTGGCGGGATATTGGTCTTCATACCCAGACATTATAATTACCAAATCTGTCCCGACTTGCTGCACCGATGGGACGTACTTCGTACCGGAAACGTTTCTAATTTTGACTACCATTTCGGATAGGTCGACCACGTGGAGGGAGCCTTCTTTCACGTTCATGGGGTAAATGTAGGTGTTCCTGACAAGGTCAAAGATGACGTAGGTGGTCTGGTTAAAGCCGACGAGATGGCTTCTCAAATCGGCCCGATTTGTGAGGATGTTGACCTCTCTCTCATTTCCGGAATAGATGAAGTCAGTCCCAGTCTCAATGATGAAGGAAACGCCGAGACTTTCCGCAAATTTGGTGAGTGTTGGGATCAAACGATTTTGCACAATTTCTAATTCCAAGTATTCCCGCAGATTTCCGAAACTGATGATAATTTCGCCATATCTGGTGATCCGGATGAGGAAACCGTCCCCCGTGGTAAATTCTGGTCGAAAGTGAAACATCTCGGTGGGGTCGGGTGGGGCGAGGGCGTGGGAAAATGAGACATTTTCGCGGGACTGAATTGTGTAGATTAAGCGGGAATTGGCGAATTGGATGCTGGTAAGGTCAGAGAGTGTGAAATTAAGGAGGAAAATGTGTCTCGTTCTCCAAAGGCGGGACATCTCGGTCGTTTCAATGTCGAAGGTTTTAACGGTGGTGAAATGGTAGTAGAAGGTGGAGGGATTTAGGGGTGCTTTGTCGTCGATGGCATCGTCAATAACATCGTCTTCGTCAATCTCGGTGTCATCCTCACCGCGATCAATTTCTTTAATTTGTGTGCTATCTTGCTTTATTTTGTTTGCCGAAATTTCCTTCTGATCATAAATTTCTGTCGAATTTGATTCCTCTGTAGTACCATTTTCCCCCACTTCCGGTTCGTCGTCCAACTCGAAGACAACCCTGGTTCTCATTCCAACCTGAATTGTGACTTGATACCGTTCACAAGTGACACTTTGGACGAGAACCAAGTCCACGTTGCTCACCGACTCGGTCCCACAACCAAGGATGACCTTGTCAAAAGAAGATTCCCGCCCTTGAACGACCCCAATATTTTGTAAACTCGTGACGAAAAATTCCTCGTTTTCGTAATTGTTTTCGTTTTGCCCGTCCAGAAAGTAAATGGCGCCTATTTTGTCGCGTAAATCAATTTCCAAGGGGCGACCAGGGTGCAAGGAATCTAAGAATTGCAACTGGTTCCGGCCCAAACCTCCATCGATTTCGGAGACGGTTTGGACATCGAATAAAAATATGTTGTCGTCTTTCTCCCTGCCAAGTATGGTGTCCAGGTCGGCACTTGTGTCTACACTGATGTCATTTCCGGCTCCGCGAATCCCAATAATGTCCCCGGAATAGGGTCCCTTTGCCGCGGTGATGGCGGTAATGTCGCCATCTTCATACCGTAAGTCAAGGTCCGTTAGGAGGTGGGCGTCTTGACCAATGTGAAATGTCGGCATGTTGTGAAAATTTAAGGGGAAGTGGTGCACACTTCCGGACCCCATCGTAATCTCGAGATGTCCAACTTTTTTCATCATCTCCACGTGCGACACGTCCGCTAGGGGAAGCTCAAACCGGAAGGAATGCATTGTTGCATTTGTCGGGTGATAAGAAATTTCAACATTATCCACGGATCGGATATGGTACGTGAAATTACCTCGCGTCGCGAGATTTTCGAGTGTTGTAAACTTTTCTAAGATGAATGTCACTTCCGGACGACAAAAAGTGGACGGAACGGTGATAAGATCGCCACGATTGGGAGACTCGCCACCTTCCGTTACCACCAACTTGGTGTCACACGCGGTCGTTACGAGGTCACTTTTTCCCTTCCTTCCGTTTACGATTTGGATGTTTTCGACCTCAAGGGATGGAACGTTGTCGAATGTGACCGTTTTGTTGGGCAGATTTACGTCTATGATGGACGTGGCATAGGAATCCATGAATATTAGAGAGTTGACTCCGCCATGACCGTTTATTCGCCCGGAGGAAGTATCGTTGAGAACGAATGCGTCGTTCGCCTTGCCACCGTGAACCTCCCAATTATCGGAATTTATGCGGAACACGTTCCGCGCACCGACCGCGCCACGTCGAACGCTGAAAGTGCCATTATGTTTTGTAGAGTTTTCTAAAATGTGCAAAATTTGGATGTCTCCCGACTCCACGTCGACGAGCACATTTCCGTTCGAAGAGTAATTCGCATCGGTAAACATGACGTTGAAATTAGGCAAAAACTTGTGATCTGGAGAAATACCGCCGAAATCGAGGTTGAAACTTACACGGTTTTGTCGTTCCTGAAATAATAGCTCAATTTTGCACATTCCCTTGTTCCTGGATGGTATTACCCGATAATCGGAGAGCTTGTAGGATAACATTTGCACAGAAATGGTGAACACTGTGGAATTTCTGAGGAGGAGGTCTGCCCCAAATTGCAACCTATTTTTTTGGTCGGGTTGAAGGTATAATTGATAAGTTCCGGTTTCCGCCCTACTTTCGTAAACCGTGGTTCCGGACGCTATCACAGTCAGTTTCCTGTCTGAACACCGCATACTGGGAACTTGGACCAAATCATGATCCAATTGTCCACCTCCACCCAGCGAAATCCAGTCGGTGTTGCACCCAGCAATAATGGTTTCCTTGGCGCCAGGCCTGCCAAATATAGAATTCACCTTGGACACCGACGCCACGTCATTGTTGTCGCCCTCGAAGCGCAGCCGCCCTTGAACCATATCCATTTCGACACGTGGGAGCACAGATTCCCCAATAATTAAGCTGTTACTGCCACCCTTGCCATCAACCGTGAAGAATCCGTGACTTCCGGTCATTTCAAAGATAAATCGGTCGTCGTGCTCGCCCCCGATAGCGTGCCAGTTTCCGGCCTGAAGTCTGAAAATGTTGGGGAGAGTGGGGGCCCCGTCACGTTTCAATCTTGTTTTCTCTGTCGAATTTAATTCGTGCGACACGCTCAATTGTTCGGTGTCGTCGTCAATTTGGAGGTTGATGAAGCTAAGGTGTCCTCTCTCCTCTTGGAAAACAAGGGCAGAAGGGAGTATTCCGGAAAAGGTTAGTCTACTTCCCCCAAAAAACAGGAGTCTGGTCCTATCTGCGACCATCAGATCCTGAACTTGGCGATATATTTTGACCGATGCATAATCCGAACTAAGGACATTTTCCCCAGTGGTAATTGAAACGTCGAAACGTTCCTCGTCATTTCCCGTGCATTTTGAGTCCGGCGAACCGACCGTAATTGATATTACGTCGGACTCCTTGCCATCCATGACCACCACGTTTGACTTCCCTTTCGCACTGACGAGCAACTTGTGGGGACAGCCTTGTCTGGGAATTGTGACCACATCGGGGTATTGGTCAGTCCCACCGGCCATCTCGACGTAAGCCGTGTCACAAGTTGTGGTGACTAGTTCCGTCTCTTTCGAACGTCCTACGATGTTGTGAATATTTTTGAAGGTAACGTTCCCAACGTTTTGGCCCGTAATCAGACCTTGGGAAAAGTCAATGACAACAGTTCCCGAGATTGAGGGCGAAATTAGGACCGAATTTTGACCCCCTCGACCGTCAATGTTTCCCGAAAATGAGGCCCCACCAAGGTGGAAGTGGTCGTCGTGCTGGGGTGACCCGTACACTGAGAAGGCTCCCGGACCAAGGAGGCGGAATATGTTGGACATTGTGGGGAAACCTGAGACATTTCTTGATTTAGTGGCAGCATCTAAATCTACCAAGATTTGGACAAGCTTGGACTCAAAGTTGGAAACGATTCTCCATTTTAACTGTGATCGTGGGTCGACGATGACAAATTGTGGTGTATTTGGCGCCTTGGAGGAACACTCGAGTTCACTCACAGTTTCCTGATGCGTCTCAACGAATGAAAATCTGGCTTCGCGGTCTTCCTCAAACTTGAACATGAGTTGGCTCTCACTTACAAACTTGGCGGTAGTAAGTGAACCCTCGATTTGAGAGAGAAGTGTCCCGACCCCAAATGTGGTGGGAGTTCGCGCATAAAATCTTGTAAAATCTTGTACGGCAAGGTACAAATGTCCATCGGCAAAACTTCTCGCATCAATTAAAGTAGTTCCGCTGGCTAGAATTGTTGCGGAAAAGGACGGCCCGCATTTTGGGATGGTGATGGAGTCAGTTAAATGTGGTTCGAGGTGGCTACCCCCTCCACCCCCTGAGATAAATTTGGTTTCGCAGGACGCCGTAATATTGTCAGGTTTGTTAGCGCGGCCCACCAGTTTTTCAAAATTTGTTATACTCAAGGATAACCCATTCTCGGAAAGTTTTTCGTCCATAAGATCAATTGTCAGGAGTGATCTCCCACAACTTTGGTCAACGACGAGAGTATTGCCTTGGTCCCGGTACCCTGTACCGTTCAAAGTTCCGGTCAACTTGTCACATGGGCCATTCACATGGAAAGTGTCGTCCCCACCACCGCCATAGAATTGTTTGGTGCCGTCCCAAACGATAAAAAGGGCGTCCGTTTTGTCCCCCTCATTTAAACGGACTGAATCTTTACCTTCGCCCAAATCAATTAGCAAAAACTTTCCCGCCCCAGAACTTCTTTGAATTCCAATCGCACCCAGGCAGAGATAATCCGTGGTCGCGTCACGTTTTGAAACCCTGTCTCCTTCGTCCTTTAGTGATGAGGGTTTGCAAATGTACCCGAATTCGTGGTCCTTTCCTAGTTCAATGTCAGGACTTGACCGCTGCTGGTAGACGTTTTGCCGTATTCTTAAATCCACGGTGCTGTCAGGTACTTCGTGACGCCAGACGGGGGGAGGATCCTTCTCGCAATTGCAGCGCGTTTCAGTTACTGAGTGTCCAACAATGGGTACGACGCCATGAGTTCGAGAATCACCTTGACATATCCTGTCGCCGTAAGGTCCGAAACATCGTCTGTTCGCCCCATAACATTGAGCTTTTCGCTGCCAGTCATAACAATCGGGGATGGAGTGAAGCCAATGATTGCAAAGTTTCTCCTCGAGGAAACAATCCCCCGCCGGGTTGTGGAACGTTCTGGCGGGAAATATCTTGCCGACATATTCCGTATTATTTTTTAGGAATTCTATCGTCGCATTTACGACGATATTGTTGGCCCTCTTTTCTTCAATTAGTTCTTGGATGTAGGTGCTTGTCTCGCTGGAAGTAACGTGGCGCCAGTACTCCGTCGATTTCTCGTAATCTAGGAGCGGTAACTCTGAATTAATTCGGTCCACGTGGTTAGCAGCTTTATAAAAGGCCAGAAATCCTGTCAACACGACATTAATGATAAAAGCGACGGCAGCAAAGATGGGCGCAAGCGGGGGGAAGACTAGCGATGCAACCGCCGCAACGGCGGTGACCGCGATATCGATCGAATCCACCACGATGTCAGCAATTGCGTCGTTTTGATCAAACTTGGAGGCATTTGGGTCGTTCAGAATTTTGGCGGATTTTGTTATGCTCCAAATATTTAGCCCAACGTCGGCCAAGGCACCGACCGGTCCCCCCATTTTCCCCAGGACGGAAGATCCCAACTTTGTGGCGAATTTTGTCGTTGCTTTTTTTGCGACGAGTCTCCCCAATTTCTCGACTCCCTGCAAAGCATAATCCAACCCGATCCGTCCCCCCATGATTGCAAGACTTTGGACGTCTCCGTGCCTCAGTGAGGTCACGACACCTTTTGCCAGCATTACTTTACCGTACGCACCGCTCACCTTGGACGTCCCAGAGGTCAAGGTGGAAACCTTGGCGGCAATCTTGGTCATGCCAACTTTCACTTTTCCGTGTTTACTGACAACTTTGGCGGAAAGGTGGGTCGGATTGTGGAGAATACCGCGAGCCAGAGAATTTTGATCGTTATGCGACTCCAGGTTGGCTTGGGCCAATTGTGCCTTCGCTTTCTTTACTTCGACATCCGTTCCGACGAGCTTGTCCTGGTTTTGGGTGGCAAAGTCGACGATCCGTTTCCGGGCATCGATGCTGTCCGCATCCGTAGATCGGTCAGTGGTGGAGAGCAAGTTTGATAGTTTCCTGCTATCGATGGAGTCAAGATGTACTGGCTTGACGGGGTGGTTTTGGGGATCGTCAACAATTATTGGCTTCTTGTTTCCTCCATCCTGGATATCAAAGGGATTCGAAAACTTGTTAAAATTTGGTAGTTGGCTTTTAAAAACAAAGCATACAAAAACACACTATACATACCGTGTTTTATTTCAAAAATCTAAAACGTATCATGTTTAAAGCTTTCCTCCCAAATCCAAATCAAACTTGTAAATCAAGATAAAAGTAAATGAAAGTATGACGAATTACCTTGTCTAAATTTTGCTTGATTGTGTTATCATCAGTGTCACTGATTGGTATCTTTTTGACATCATCCGTCTCAGGGAGTTTATTTTTAAGAAAAAATACACAATCTGAATTTGCACTGCGGCGCCTCCGATTTCCGGAAGTACATGCGTTAGGCACTCCTGGGGTTGAGTGAGACTCAGAAGATTTGGATTTAGTTTTGGCCTCTTCTTTAATATATTGTTCTACCCGGTTCCAGGCATTTTGTTTCGTGGCGAGGTTAGGGTCTGAGGATGTGCTGATCTTATCCAGCTCGTGGGCACTTATTAACTTTGTTACCTCTCCGTCGTCAATCCAACCAAAGTCAGAGCCTGCTTTGAGGAGGTTTTGCATCCCAATTTTGTAATGGTCAAGATCCGGTTTGAGAAATGTGCGATACTCGTCGAGGAATAAACTCATGAGCCTGTCGTATCCTTTCGACGGTGTTTTCACGATGTAGATAGCTTCAGTCATAAATTTCTTGGCGTACGATTTTCGAACTGTGTCAACAAATTTGTCGAATTCGGTAGGTAGTCGGTCGAATTCGGGTTTCGTTTTTGTGTTTGTCTTAGCTTTTTTGCCGTTTGATTTCTGTATACTGTTCTAAAATTTTTGGAAAATTACTTTCCCAAATTTTTTGATAGTTGTATATTGTCTTGCCGTGAGCAGTTTGACTTGTGTGTTGAGCGGAAACTGTGAGGTGTCTGTAAATCCGGAAAGGTTTATAGGAAATTAGTGTGTGCAATTTGAAACTTTATTGCGGAATATGTATCGACTACATATGTTAAGGGTGATTCATAAAACCTCACCCAGGGTTCCTAAAACCCGGTGTTTTTTTACATTTACGAATAAAACGCTGTGTTTATTGTGTTGTTTGAGTTTTTTATATACAACTAATACAATCAATGGGTGATTTTTGAACTTTCGTCAATTTGGCTTTATGATATCTTAAAATATACTCAAAAACATGTCCGCCATATGTAGGGAATTTGCTAAAATTCAAAATATACCAACTTTGTTGCAAATTTTGACATTTAATTTTCGTCCAAAACATGTCATAATTTTGTCAGATATAGGTTTAAATGGTTTGCAGAAATATTTTGAACCAATATTTACATGCCGTATTAAATTGAGGCATTTGTTTCGCAAATTGGCAAATTTTGAAAAATAATGAAAATTTCCCCTTAAGTTGTTCACGATCAATATATGGAACTTTATGCGGCTCCTTGAGCTACTAATAACTATGTACATATATGTAAGGTGCCACATTCACGTAAATCGGTGTATAATAATAAAATTATTTTCATGTAGTGAGGTTGTATTTCTACTAATATATGATATCGCGTGACTCAACTTAAATCTACTATTTGGACATTATCGACTTGTTATATCGTACAATGTGTTATCTGGTAGAGAGCTTTAAAAAACACTAAAAAACACAATAACACTCGACATATGAGCAAATTACGACACAAAAGACACGGTGTTAGGAATCCTGACCTCACCTAGGGTTCCAAACACAGTGTTTCTTGTGTCGAGCGTTTTTTGAGTTTGTGTTATATTTGTGTCGAAATTTACTCACGAATAGGTGAGCTTTTTGTGTTTTACATAATATATCTTGCACTCTATGGGAGATGGCGTTTCAAAAAAACACAAACCATTCAATAAACACCGCGTTTTATTCCTCAATGCAAAAAACACGGCATTTTAGAAACCGTTTCACGAAATGGTGAAGCGTTGATCAAGATGTAAATAGTTTTACAAGGGGAAATCATTCTGGGACTATTTGCGCTGGTTAAAACCGACTAATTCGCTAATGCATTCATGCCACACCCAAAATGTTCAAAATGCTGTCATTACACAACTCTACAACCATGCCTGAAATACGGAAACTGATGAGAACTTACAGTGGCGTAATTATAAATTTTGGGCCCTTAGGAGGATGGTACGGAGGGGCCCCTTAAAACTATTGTATATACAATTCGTGAATAATAACTAAAAATTAATTATATAAATTTTACCGATTTCATCACGATCTGAATTACAAGATTAATTTAGATTATAGGCAGAGTTTCTTTTACCACTTATCTCGTAAGCCACGCGACAGATTTTAAATATTGTTTTAGAGTTCGAGACCTCTGATCAATTTCAATGATTACAACATACGTTTTTGAAAAATGGGTCTTAAAATCAACCACAAACCGGCCCATGTTGTAAAGACACGCTAAGTTACAATGACCCTTAACATAATACTTCACCAGGGAATCGTGGTCAGGGAAATTTGCAAAGTTTTTAATGATGAGTGGTCTAAAACAATCTCTGAAATGTGCGTCCAAGTTTTCCAATCTTAGAGACTGAAACTTTATTCAATATCAAAATTAGACAGGGACAACATTGAAAACATGAAAAAAATTCACCGACGCCAACTTCACCCACAAAATAAGATAGTGACTCTGCCTGTAATCTAAAAATACCCACTGTAAGCTCAGTTGTGGGGTACCAAATTCCGAAATGTGACCTGGGAAAGCTTGTCGCTCTTCATCGGCCACATTTCATTTTGCTGCTCTACTTTTGTGTTTTTCCGTCATTTTCACGTTCGCATAAATTTATTTGGTTAAACCAACGTAATTGTGGAAGACACTAGTAAATTTAAAAGAATTTGTAGAGAGGAAAATGTAAACATGCCAAGCTATGTGTGTAAGTTGAAATTTGGCATGGTTAGCGAAGCACTACATTTGACCACATCTTACCATGTACCCCATTATGACTTGTAATTCTTCAGATAAATCAGAAATATATGCTCATAGTTAAAATTTATACACGTCCATGCATAAAGTTGCCGCAGTGCCCCATGGGCCCTACAACTTACGGGGCCCTTATGTTTTACCTAACCAACCTAACCCTAGTTACGCCACTGAGAACTTACTTGTCCTTAATCCCATTCTCTACAGCGGACACCCACTTGTCGTAGTACTTTTTCATTACACGCTCCGCCTCGTCCACCGTCGCCGTTTTGAGAGCTTCGATTTCATCATTAAGCCCGATTTTTCCGGTAGATGGGAATTTTCTGTGGACATCGTAAGGAATACTGAGCACCCCCATGCGACCCCTAACGTTTTCATTAAACTTATCCAAGTCGCTGCTAAGCCCTTTGTTGGTTTTCACAAGTGAATTCCGCTCTTCCGTTAATTTCTCGAGTTCTGCTGACTTGACTGCGTCGGTAACCGTGGAAGTTGGACCATTCGCCTTTAATTCAGCTTGTTTCCTTAATTCCTGGTTCCGGGCGAACAGTGCTTTTTCTTGTACCGTATTTCTCGCTATTTTGGCATCAATTTGTGCAGCGTTTTTAGGATTGTGTGATTTCTGGGTTTCCAAAACCTTATTTTCTCTGATAAGATTTGTCATAGCTGTCCTATTTTTATTGTATTTCTTTTTTAGGTCTGCGTCCCAATTTTTTATTCGCAGAGGTTTACTCGGAGTTTCGAGATCTAGGGCGTCAATTTTTTTTGTGATTTGCTTTATTCTCTTACTGTTTGTGGCATGGTTGGTGGAAACTAGTTCTGCCTTTAATTGTTTTCGTTTTTCCACAATCTCCTTAATTTTGGGGGGTAGGTTGTCCACATTTTCGGCATAGTCTAAAATAGAGTAGTTCGGGGCGTGGTCGGACTCAATTACTTTGTCCTTTGAAACGACCGGTTGCACGGAATCGAATCTCCCGCCGCGACCCAGACCCAATTGAATAACGTCTGGATCGCTAGCCAAATTTAGGCGAAAGTCGTCCCTAGTTTTAATTTTGTCGAGGAGGATAACCGCAGAATTATCGTTGTCAACTTTTGTACGTTTTCCGGATGATCCAACATCGCATACGGAGGTAGGCGGAGATAGAAGTGTGCTTAGACTGTGGCCGCTTTGAGCACCCGCGCTGTGATAGGTGGCGAGTAGGAAGAGTGTAATTTGTAGGGTGGCTAGTTTGCAGAGGGTGGGCATCATGTTTCTGGAAAAAAAGATTTCCACATTGATTACATAATTTCTTAATGACAAATCCAAATTCAAGTGCTGTCCCCAGTTGGTATTAATTTGTGTGATGTACATAAATTTCACGAGCTTATTGATCTGCCAGGGTTTCTAACACTGTGTTTTTGTGTCGTAATCTGCCCATGAATCGGTGTTTTTGTGTCTAATTATTTAGTACTTTGTATTATCAGGTAGATGGCGCTTCAAAAATCACAATAAAATCAAACAAAAACACAATATATCGTCGTTGAGCCTTCATTATGGAGGCTTACAACGATATGTACATACATCGCGTTTTATCTCCACATAAAAATAATTTAAAAAAACCTCGTGTTTTAGTAACCCTGCAGTCTGCCCTCTGTAGTTTATAAGTACATGTGAAAGTTCCCAAATACCTGTAATCGCGTGTCCAACTTCTTGATTGCAGGCTCGGCAGAGTCAGATTTTCAAAAAAAAAGATTTATTGAGCCCAGCTAGCCCAAGAGTATAAATATTTCTTTTTTGACAGCGAATGGAGGATTGAAAATCCGTCCAGTCTCACTTCATGAGTAAATACTTTTGTAATTTATTTATTTAGTTATGTGCCTTTAAAAATCCTTACATAGGTAGTGCAGATTAATCTGACGATTTATTTGATACCTGCCATCCAGCGGAGTTCCAGGTGCAGACTGAACTTTGATTCCCGAAGCCCCCCACTTTTATCCGTATTTATAATGAAAGTGCCGAATTGTATAAGTGACCCGAAAACAATGCTCGGAAGCTGATATCAAGCATTAATCTCAATCGAATGACTTTATTTATTGTTGTCTGCACGGTTGACTGACAACCTCCAGATTATCCATATCACTACATACATATATATATAAGATGATTTATTGATCAAGAAATATCAAGTCATACAAGTTTACAATAAGACGGTCAAACCCCACACGGTGGGAAATACTTGACCGACTTGGTATCATTCATATAAAGATAAATATGGAAGCACCTCCAACAATAACGCTAAGATTCTTAATATCTACATCATTAAAAGTTATACATACAAATTAAATATACAAATTAAAAGTTAGACATACTCCCAAACCTCGCAGGATATGAATCACGATGGGATTGACTGGTTTTGGTGATCCATTCTTAAAATTGCACAATGTTGTTCCATATCACCAGTGGTGAGTTAACATGGGAAATTGGTTATCCATCCATCGATACATCCCTCACACTTATCTGCGTGCGGATTATATTTATTTGCAGATGACGAATATACATTTTGCACTTTATATTTAAATACCATACAGAGATAAGTGCTTGACCAAACTTCCAGTTCATACATATCTATGTATGTAATCATGTAAATCGGTTCAAGCAAAGTCAACTTTACTTGTCCAAATAACCATGCCCTGGGCATTTGGGGCATGACGTGTACATAATCCTTTATGTCAGGCATTTAGAATCAGGACATTTTTGGTACTTCTAAAAAAATGCACTTTACCGCGTCCATTTTATGTATTAAAGCTTCCGAAACTTTATAAGTATAAAACAGGTCAAGAGTAAATGTTTGTCTGTTTGGTTGGTTCATTTATTTATGTATGTATTCTTCTATGTAGAAAAGGCAAAAAAACTTTAAGTAAAAATTATGGTAACTATTGGTATCCTCAATTAAACGAGCACCTATTAGCATACAAAATATTATGAATAAATTGTTTCAAAATGCCTTAGGCATATTTACCGTTTAGCCCGTATATGTAGGCCCGGCATGAAAATATATAAACAGTTGGTGCATTTATTGGACGGGCAGGGCATTTGGCCAACCCTGCCTTTACTCAACACCAATGAATCATAGTTGGACAGGATGTCTGGATCACGGTTTAATCAAACAAGGTGTTAGGAACCCTGCTAATAAGTTATAACTAATGAAATGAAGCCACAAATATTTTCACTTGTAAAGATCATTAATGACCACTCTGTACAAAGCCTTTATCTTAAGTGAATAAGTAAAATACATGCACCAAAGAAAACTCAAATTTAATTAAATACACTATTCAAATGCAGAGCATTTATTAATAAAAAATGGACATGTTTAAGTTCATGATAAAGTGTTAAAAATTAATTGAATCTGCGCAACTTGTAATCATGCCTGAAATCCAGCCTGAAAAACCCTGAAATCATATTCTAATTTGCTTAAAGGTGTTCATCAATTTAGTAAGATTCGACAATAATTTCGTAATCATAATATGGTTCTTCTTTATGGTCGATGTCGGGTAACTGTGGTTCAACAGAGGACTCGGGTGACTGGTCACTGTCAGCATCAGTAGGGGAGGTAAAAATACTTGTAAAAATCCTTGGCGAGAAGCCCTAGCCAAGGATTTCCCCATAAGAAATAAAGCGGGCGAGAAATCTTTGGCGAAAAAACCTAGACACTTCTACTACTAGGAATTATTACAGATGAACATAATGAATTATATTTTTTTTGAAGTTGGGCCAAAATTTTCGTGGAGCCAAGCGAAACCGAATACTTCATAAGTTGCTTAATAATTATGTTTTCAGAAAATTTACAACGCCGAGGAAATCTGACATCCAATTTAATTAAAAACTTGAATTGGATACATTTTTTACAATTTCGCATTCAATTAACAATTTTCTGAACACATTAGTCTACAAAAACGATGTGGGTGTAATGTAGGTGGTAAAAAATAGAAAAAAATGGGAGGAACTATTATACAGCGACATATTAATCTGTAATTTTCTCAAAAATTGCCACAAACACAAAGTGGGGATATAATCTAGTTATTATTTTATAAAATTATATTTTCAGAAAATTGAAAACGTCGAGAAAATCTGACATTAACATCTGACGTTATCTGACGTTATTTAACAGATAAGGTTATGATTTTATTACTTAATTGTTATGTACATTCAATAATCGATTATGGTATAACTATATGGGCCACTCTCCCAGACTCGCAACTTGGTAGATTACAACGTAAAATAGATCAATATCTTGTAAACTTCTACCTTCCAATAATTGCCAAAAAACAACGTGCGCGGAAGGCAAGTAGATATAAAGAGTTAAGAAATAAGATAGATGTAGTCCAAGTAAGAGAAAAGTGTGGTATTCTCCCAATTTTAGAACGTAGAGATTTATATGTACTTAAATATGCTTTTAAATATCTGAGAGAAAGTGAGAGTTCTTCGAGGTCACAGCGTAGTTTCCCACTCCTTAAAGTCCCAAGTGTTCGCACTTCTATAGCAAAAAATTCAATTAATTTTTGTGCCATAAAATTATGGAACTCTCTTCCACGTAATTGGGAAAGTAATTTAACTTTTCCTAAATTCGTACAGCAGTGTAAAGAATTGCTTTTGTCAAGAAACAAGAATTGTTACATTTATTATTAATTTATAGATGATTAGATTAGTGCTTCTAAATTATAGCATTTCTGTCATGAATTGGAAACCAGCTTATATTAGCTGATATTTGTTGACAGTTGAATAAAGGTTTACAATACAATACAATACATTAAATTTAATCTGTATTAAAACTTTAGTAGGTTCCCTTATTTTTTGTGATTTCGTATTCAATTAACAATTTTTTCGACAAATTAGTCCTACATAAAAAACATTTTGAGTATGAATAGCAAAAAATACAAAACCAGCTAATTTGGCAATAATAAAACTTATTCCGTGAAAACTGATTAGATTTATTTTTTTTAATTTTTTTTTTAAATTTTATTGTTATCTAAAACGAAGATATTATTCAATACAATAACAAAACGTGTAAGAAGACTTGAAAGATTTCGCCGTCAGAGATGCCGCCGTGACCGTCCCTGTAGGGACAAAGCTCCCTAGGTATCGCCCTGTGAAGGCCAAAAGGGCACTACTTGTTGACTAAAACTATTCACCAAATTTCTCAAGTAATTGATTTCATACAAATAAGAGTTGAAAGTATCACCGCATGCAAATTGGCCGCAAACTGCAATATTGTATGTACATACTTTTATGTATATTTTCAGAGAATTTTAAACCGCGGGAAGACTTGACATAAAATTTAATCCATGAAGCAATTGAGTTGGATGCAGCAGTTTCGCATTCTATTAATAATTTTCTGAACACATTGATATTACAAAAAAATGGACATGGGTGGCAAAAAATATTTAAAAATGTGAGAATTTTTTATAGAGGAGCATATTGAATTGTATTTTTTCAGAAATTTGGGACTCACGTTTCATAGAATTGAACAGAACCTACTAATGTGTTTTTTAAGTTTAAATTTTTAGAAAATTGAAACCAGTGATAAAACATGACATTAAAAAATTAAGTTGTGTGCATTTTTTACAATTTCGCATTCAATTAATAATTTTCTGGACACAAATTAGTGTTACACAAAAAATATGGGCGTGGATAGCAAAAAGTTAAAAAAAACCGGCCGAATTATTGTACAGCAACATAATAAATTGTAGATTTGTGTACGATCTAGTTAACACATTATAAAATTATATTTTCAGAAAAGACAGTGATCGAATTTTATGCTCAACTTTGGGGCCGGATAAAATGATATCGTAATTGCGCCGGTTTTTCGAGTCTATTTTTATTAAATTGCAAATGTGTTGAAGATTGAGAAAATACAAACATAAAAAAACCGGCGCAATTACGATACCATGATTTTTGACCACAACCATACATAGTTTTGCATGCATTTCTCATATGTAACCCACTTTTTACTGATTTATTTCATACATTTTGTTGCTAATGGTTGATTTTTTTTTGTAAAATAAAAAAAATCAACAATCAATAGTGATGTTTTTGCAAAATAAAAAATTACTTCTGAAAACTTTCTTCTCACCCCACATATCATCTCGCACCAACTACTTCAAAAATGCCAAATATAAAGTGTTTCATGGAAGATTGTAATCATCATATTACTACCACCCAAAAACGGAGTCGATTAGGGCAGCCTTCATTATGGCCACTTTACCAGGCTTACATGAATGGAAAATCGGACGATAGCGATAAAAAGGAGATCATTTGTCAAGGATGCTATATGAAGGTAAGTTGATATTTGTATAAATGGACGCTTATTTAATAATTAAATATAATTCCAGATACGGGGTCAATTAAAACCTCTCGGTTTGAAGAATTTCGTCCGGAAAACTCCAATTGCTCCAACCCTTGTACCAATTTTTCCGGAACAGACAAGGTCGAAACGGAGGGCCAATCTGAGCGGAGAAGTTAACGCAGAGGAAGGTGGTGTTCGTGTCGCACAAAATGACGCTCGTGGCGCTGAAGAAGATGATTCTCGTGGCGGAGAGGAAGATGATGCTCGTGGCTCTGAGGAAGATGATGCTCGTGGCGCTGAAGAAGATGATTCTCGTGGCGGAGAGGAAGATGATGCTCGTGGCTCTGAGGAAGATGATGCTCGTGGCGCTGAAGAAGATGATTCTCGTGGCTCTGAGGAAGATGATTCTCGTGGCGGAGAGGAACATGATGCTCATGGCGCTGAAGAAGATGATTCTCGTGGCGGAGAGGAAGATTATTATCGTGGTGAGGACGACGCTGTTCGTGGCAATGAAGATGCTCGCGATGGTTGCGACGACGAAGCTGTTCAGCAAGAGATTGATCGTTTCGAGTATGGACTACTGGATATGGAGCTAGATGACTTC